CTGTGTAGTAAATTCTGCTCCATCTGAAAGCACGTGATGATGATTTCCTGCTGATTACAGAACCGGCATTACTATCAAAATGCGCATGACAATCGCATTCGATTAATCGTGCAGCCCTATGGAACAGTGTGGTAAATACAACTTAACCACTGATTTCTCGTTGTGTCCTCTTTTGGAAGGCTAAACAAAGACGTTTCGCTTTCACAATGAAACACAGCGTCTCACAGCTTTCTTTGCGTGAACATTTGGGCGGTGTTATGCAAATCTTCCCACACAGTGACGTAGACATGTGGGGGCGTGTTTAAACGAGGCGTTTTAGGAGGGCGTGGACCAGTCTTAACTTTTATAAAGAATATCTCTTTAGGTTTGAGACTTTAGTCTTTGCAACTTTAGGGATCTTATCTATTCACGAACAGCTTTTAACACTCCAAAGAGAAAGGAAAACTTGAAATTGCATCATATGACCCCTTTAAATGTATTCCAGATATATCTCATGTACCTTGATTAGAGGACCTTGCACTCATAAAAACTGAGCTTAGTCCCAAGACAAATTACAATTATAATTATAAAATGCACTTTAAAAGTTCTATTACAGCTGTACTAGAGCAATACAACACCTTATAAAAATGCCATGTAAACACTTTAGTCTCACTGAAATAGTATCAGCATCTTAACATGTTAATCAAATTACAAAAGGCCTCGAGATTATGCCCTTGCTCCAAAAGACAGTTTACATGCCACCTGCATTTAATCCTTCAAATATTTGATTATTCATCATGTCATCTATACCTGGACAAATAGAGACTGTAACCTGACTACATAAAACCTGCCAGAACTCCATTGTAACTTTGTATATAAAAGCACTAACTGATTCATCACATTAGCCTTAAATACTACCCTTTAATTATGATCTGGCTCATGTCTTAAACACGAGGTGTTGAAACTGTGGCCTAATGCTACTGCATTTTTGTGCATTTCCACAAAAACTGCATAACATTTGAGATTCTCTTAGCAAAGCCAAAGGATGTTGCCTAACCTGTCCTGCTTCCCATCTGAGGGAAGACTATTCTTGATTTCTGGTTACTTTGTTTAGCAGTAAGAAGTTCCACCATGGTGACAAACAGAGGTCAGCACTGACCATTCAGTACCGGCGCTTACCACAGGGTGACAGAACGGCAGCTGCTATGGTAACGCATGCAGTTACCATGACAGCATGCCCACAGAACAAGTCAAAAACCTCCCATCACCACACCCAACACCAAGCAGGCAAGAAATGTGTTAGTGAAAACCCATGCAACGACAGAGGGAGAAGAAGCAAAATCTTGAAATAAAGAGAAGTCTCAAGGGAGACAAAACAGTTGGGATTATAATTGTTATAATGCGGAGTTATAATACAAGCAAGTTTACTAGGAGAGAAGTTCACAATTACACACTGACATCATTTCATGGTGCAAAGCAGAAAGGTTATTAAGTGCAGCAGCACAGTAAAACAGCAGAAGACTATTTTGCTGTACTCTGCAAAGTGTAGGGACACACCGAACCGACGCCAAAGAACTAGCGCTGAGGAAAGCTGACTGTGGAGTCGCCTTGCATCGCCTGCGTTGGGGCAAAAAAGTTGCACTAGAACACATTGGACAGACCACAGCCGACGGCCAACTAGCACTGTACGCTCTGCACCTGCGTGAGAGAACATAACTCTACCATACCAGGAGGCATCCGACTACAGCCAACGGTATGGAACACACCGAAAAAACTAAAGTGACCGATGCTCAAAAACCACCCTACATTGCCCGACGGCTGACCGTTGACTTGGGGTGTCCCAGGCTTAAAACTAACTCACCCATGCAGTGAGCTGGATATTAATGGCTTAATATTATTAGGTTTCTCACAATGCAAAGTGACTTTATCAGATCTAATACCCATGGGAAAAAATGTATTATTAAAGGTATAGCTGACACACAAATGTAAATGTTATTATTTACTCACACCCACACCTGTATGACTTTATTTTGTAGAACACAAAATTAAACGTGTCAAAATGTTCATGGTATTTTTTTTTTTCCTGATAATGAAAGAGAATGGTGTCTGTTAAGCTCTAAAAGGGACAGTTTGTGTGCTAAATTCGGAAACCATACAATAGCTTTGTGTGAAGAACAGACTGTCAAGTCATATTCATGCTCATATACAGATCTAGTGCATCACAATTAGTTATGAGACCCAAAACCCTATGATTTTTGGGATCATTATGGTTAAACCTGCTACGACATTTCTCTATGTGCCATATTTTAATATACAGGAATATGAAAGAGATTTGAGAGCTGTGTCAATGAGTCTCTCTCTCACAAAGCTATCATATAGCTTTAGAAGATTTAGAAAGTAGTCCAAGATTGTATGGATTTCTTTCATGGCACTGTTTGACATTTTTGGAGCTTGACAGACCCTGGTAACTATTCATGTTTTGTATGGAAAACAAGTTGTCAAAAATGTGCTAAATGTCTCCTTTTGCGTTCCAAGGAACAAATTCTGACAGATTTTTTAAATGGCATTAAGGTGAGAAAATGATAACATAACTATCCTTTTAACCCTAAATTAAGTTAACTACATTAACTAGAGAGAGACTGTATGAAAGATGGATGGACTCACTGATATGACCCTGTCTCCCATGTGCAGGATATTGTCTCTGTGAGCAGCTCCTCCTTCAGCAATACGAGAGATGAAGATTCCCTGTGAGAAAGTAGAAAAACACAGTCAATGATAATCTCATCTCAATACAAGCTTGTGAAGGAATTCTCCTATGCACAACAAAGATGCATTTATTTGACCAAAAATACAGTAAAAAAGCAATATGAAATATTATTACTGTTTAATATAACTGTTTTCTAAAATACTACATCTTAAAATGCAATTTATTGCTACGTTGGCAAAGCTCAATTTTCAGCATTCAGTCTTCGGTGTCACATGATCCTTCAGATATCATTCTAAAATGCTGAACAATATAATAATATAATATAATATAATATAATATATAATTTCCTTACTATTATCAATGTTGAAAACAGTTGTTGTGTGTTGTATTTTTGTAGAAAGAGACACATTTTTATTAGGATTCTTTGAAGAATTATTTGCTTTGCTGACACTTTTGATCAATATAATGCACCCTGAATTAAAGTTTTTCAGTTCTCACTTCATTAACAATCTTTTCACAAGAATCATATGGAAAGTAAAGAGTCCTAAGAGGAGTTTCACAAAGAATCAAAAAACAGGTAATACTCTTGTAGTAACACAACCATAATATCACTTGCAGTGCTATATTAGCTGGGGACATGAGCTGGCTTACACAGAGTGCACTGCTCCTGTTCAGCTGTGTTAAGAGCTAGTCAGTATGCTGGTGTAACATGCTGCAATGCCACAAGCCTCTAAAGCAGAAATTATCCTGCTGACCTTAGCTTACAATGACCTACCTTGCTTTTAACAGCCCATTATATAGAGTTATTTAAAACTCTAAAAATGTAATTCAGACTTTGTAGTATTAAAAGAACAAACTATTTACAACCGTCAAGGCCACCTGATTCTTCAAAGACAACTCTGATAACAGTTTAACAGATTATCCTCAAACAGCCTTTGTCAGCACTTTCACAGTATGTTCTCTAGAAGTGTGATCAGAACATTTCATGCCGAAGACTCGATGCAGCAAACAGACCAGCAGACAACTCAGTGAGATCTACTTGTTAGTAAAAACACGCGCAAATGTCAAGGAGGAGGACAAAAACAGGACTTACAATTACTCAGCATAGAGTGTGTGCATGTGCTAATGTTTGACTGTGTCTCCTTCGTGAAAGTGGTGCAAAAATGTGTGGCAGTATGGTGCGTGTCTGCAGTGGAGATCCAAAAATACTTCATCCCCTGCCATCCTATAATCTACAAGCCCTATCAGATGTCAGTTCCTGTAATTCTAATCATTGCAGCCTCGGTCAGCCATCCTAGAGGTGCTGAGGAAAGTCACGCAGAAGCTTAAGCTTGCATACGCTTCTGTTAAATGTTAAACAAATGGAGAGAACAGATGACATGTCCTGACTTCCGTAAACTACATCACACAACCTGACACTGAGGCAATGAACACACCATGAAATATTCACTACAAGGCAAGTCACGAGTGCATATGCAAGAGCGTCTTGTGTTTACCGTGTCTCCTACTCGGTACGGGGTTGACCCTTTCCCTCCAGCAATGCTGAACCCTAAACCTTTATCGTTGCGGACCAGACAAGTGGCTAGTTGCAGCGTAGGACCAGTGCTGACAGCAGGTGAGGCAGGGTCCAGGAGGAAAGGCAGCCCACTGGACCGTCTCTCCCCGGGGAAATAATCATCTTCTGGTCTCAATGGCGTGGTGGTGACTGCGTTCTCTGGTTCAACCATGCGTTCCCTCAGAACGGTCATAACCACGGCTGCCCCAGAGTTGCGCAAGGCCTCGACAGCTGTGTGATGCTCCGCTCCGTGCAGGTTTACTCCGTTCACCTGAGACCAGACGAATACAAGAATGGAGGATTAAAAGCAGCATGAATGACTGGTTTTGTATGGTGCAACTCAAAAGAGAAAATGATAACAGATGTTCACCTCAAGAAGTTTGTCTCCCACTTTGACTCCAGCACGAGCTGCAGGGCCCTCTTCTGACACTCTAGAGATGAAAATACCCTGAAAAGGACATTATCAGTACATTAAAACAACCAACACACTCACACACACACACACACACACACACACACACCCCGAGCTGCAAACTGTTTCAGATGGTTCAGTCCGATTTGGTGAACCGGTTCAAAATAATTATTTGTTTGAGAACAGGACATTACTCCGGACCGTTTACCTAAGGCTATATAACGTTATAAATAATGTTCAGCACAGAATGATCGTTTCGCTTCATAAGACCTCACTACCTCGTCAGGAGCCACAGGTATTAATTTTGATCCTTGATATGCTTTTTTTATTCTCAAAAACGGCCAAACTTGCATTTTATGAATCACCAAAGACCACGGTATCAGCTAAAAATCGTTTTTACTATTGTATTCAAGAAAAAAAGTTACCTACATCTTGGATGACCTGGGGGTAAATAACAGTAAAAGTAAAGTAAATTAACAGCAAATTTTCAATTTTGGATGAACTATCCCATTAAAACTGATTTACAATCCTTGATCTCTCATTCAAGGCAATAAACTTCCAAAAAAAAATGATCACTGGGTAAAAATGTCAATGGAAATACACATTTACCTTTCTGCAACTCTTGGAGCAAAAGCACAAACAATTCCTGTAAGAGAATACTCGGAGAGGGTAAAATGAGTTATTGTTGTGGGATGCATACAACGGCCTCATGGCCAAAGGAAGCCAAAGTGGGAAATGCCCTCAATTTGCCAACATTTCAAAACAGTAAGAACTAAATCTGACTAACTGTAGCCTTCAAAATATCCTGCTGGTTTCCACACAAACAATAGCCAGTACCTTTCTCCAAACACTTGATATGTGTTTGCGTAATACTAGTTAAGATGTGTAGCTGTTGATTTTGGGAATGCATGACAGTCCTCATGGAAACAGTCAGCAGAGCTGTTTCTGTCCCCATCGGAGCGATATAGAGTTACGCCTCCACTAAATACGAGAAGCCACTGTAACAAATTAGGTTCAACTGTCCCTGGCAGTCACTATTGGTACAAGTCTGGACTTGGCCTGTGAACACAGACCTACGTTTCACACTACAGCCAAAAAAGAGTGTCGATGATGTCACTAAGATAGACATGAGAGTTTAACTATAGTGTGAAGGTGTCATACACGCTCTCAAGTCTTTGCAGAACTACAGTTAAAACTTCCAGAATATAGACGTTTACAGTAACTGAAACACACAGAGACAGCTGCACACTGAAAAGAAATCCCTCAACACCTGCTACAAGTGATCAGTTCCTCAAATGGTCTCACAAACATAGTCTGCTAGGTTCAACCCTGAGAAAGCGTGCAGGACTTGTATTTGTGGTTTTGAATTGGAGTTTAGTCCCAATTCCCAAATCCAAGAGCGTAATTATGTAAAACTTTTATTTGGAATTCCTTTTTTTAAAGGAACAGTTCACCCAAAAATGCAATCATTATATACTCCCCTTCATATCGTATGCTGTTATTTTTTCCATGAAACAAAAGACAATAAAAGACATTGAGCTAAGGAGTTAATGACAGGATTTTCATTTTGGGTGAACTATTTCTTTAAGAGATGATTTTTTTTAAAAGATACAAAGCTGTCACTGAGGTAGTACCCTGAGGTACAAAAGCTAAAAGGTACATCTTTGTACCTTATTGACCCCATATTAGTACCTTAAAGGCACATATTAGTGCTTTAAAAGTACATATTTCTACCTAAAGTGTACATATTTGTAATTTTGAAAGGCATTTTGAATGACAGATTTGTACATTTTCTTCTCAGAGTGTATAAAAGTATTTTGGTTTAAAAAGCTTAGAAAAACAATACATTTAGGAGGGAGAATAAAATTAGGAGTACCCGGTAAGACCCGGATGAGGTCTGTCAATGTTTCATAACACTGCATGCCATGCAGGACTCCTCACTGAGCGGCCATCTGTAACATTACCACAGTGCTTCAGAGCAACTTGGCTGCATTTTGATTCACTCACACAACCACATGCAGAAGAACAACACAAGGCCGGGATCTCTGTGGGGAACAAATTGTAAAACTGGCATCTTCTTCAGCAAAGCCAAGATCATGAGGGTCAGTAATAGTAATGCTGACTCAGCGAACATCAGAAGAAAATGTGCTTCACCTACAGGGAGTTTCACAGCCTTTATACATTACGATTTTCCTGTGTATTGATGTTTCTCAGAGCTGCAAATTCCATCATTCCATTTTTAGTAAAATAAAACTTGAAATAAAAAAAAGGACGAGACAAGGCAGTTTTGTAGCATCTAAGTCAATATATTATAATATAATACAATACAATACAATATAATATAATATAATATAATATTTAAACTTAGTGGGTATAATATTTAAACTTATTGGGTAAAAAAAAAAAACGATACACTGTTAATTTAACACAAAGTAATTATTTATTAATTTGCTTTGGCTTCAGTACAGTGACATTTAGGATATTTTATATTGATTAACTTATATATTACTAAATGAAATTACATTCGTATCAGCCTGGTGGCACTCATAAACAAGATAGCTGATGCTGCAAAACAACAGAAGATTAGTTTCATAAACCCACGAAAACTGGGCCATCCTGAAACTGGCCTTCAGTGAAAACCCTCAAGGTATCTATTCCCAGCCTGAAAAAGCCTAAACAAATTGTTTTTACCCGCTTTATAGGGTTAGTATTTTTTTAACAATCAGTCTGCCACCACAAAATCTCTTTGATACGTGTCCTAATCACATTTAACCTCTTTTATTTGGATATGAAGAAAACAGATCATGTTCTCAGCCACCCTTAAAAACCCATAACTGGATGATGTAACCTGTTAAAAGTGGAAAATCACTATAAAATATTTCACATCTGTCTGCCACAAAGTTGGTTCTCATCTACTTGCAGTGTTTGTGGAACAGGTTCTTGCACTTAAGCCTATGTCTGAATAAATACATCACCACTGAGCACTGCTTACTTGCATAAAGCGTCTCCTTCTTTTCACCACAATTATGAAACTGAGACAGGCCTGTAATACTAATATCGCAAGAGCGGCTTTGTCAACACCTTATGCACAAACAATGGAGTAATTATGGGCTTAACAGTAACATATTAGAGAAACACAAGCGTCATTACAGAAAGTTCATAAGCTCATTGAGTAATATGAAATGTGCCCAATAAATATGGAAATACTATGGTACAATGTTCCAAAGGACCATAACGTTTTCTAGTAAGTGCTAGCACATTAGAATAGCACACCTCTTGTGCACATTAAAGGATTTTATGGAGTGCTATACAGCGTCTGACTTTAGTAATCATTGCTGAATTTCAAGGAATTGCAGGGTTACACAATTATACAAGATGCAGCCTCTCAGAATTTGAACACAATGACTGACAAAAACCAAACAAACAGAAAGTCCTTGTGCGTGGGCACACACACACACACACACACACACACACACACACAAAAGCATTTATCAAAACTCATCTATTGTGTGAAAGCTCATTGAAATGTACCTCGTCATCACCCTTATAGGGTGTAGATCCTTTCCCCCCTGCTATGCTGATGCCTAACCCACCGGTCTGTCTCAGGATAGACAGGGTCAGCTACAGATGAAGCAGAGAGATCAGAAATTCACAGATAAATGCAGAACAAAATACTTCAAAGCGTTTGCTATAATATGCGTGGCTTGACTCAAAAAACAACAACAACAAAAAAAAAACAACAAAAAAAGGTTTTCATGCAGTGCATGCTTGTTTAGAAAGGAAATATTTATAATATGAATGACTGCATCCGTGTTCAGACAGATCAAATATATTGTCCCAACCAGTAGCCTTCTTTCCTTGATATATGCATTGCATTCATTTACATACTTTAAAAATTGAGCTCAAATGTATGGATCATTGGACAACCTGTTCATATTCAGACATACATTTAAAAACCAAGTTGAAAGATAACACAGAAGCACACAACCTCTGTTGATAAGAGAAGCCCTTGATATTTGCAAGTTGGATCAGTCTGACTGCTTGTCTATTTATTAAGCAGTTTGGGATTGTGACAGACTAAGTGGTTTACTCAAATCTTTTCAATCTTTGGAGTGAAAAATTAAACACTACAGGATTATAAAACGAACTGATGTGAATTGTACACAATGCAAAGTTAAGGCAGGTTTTAGGAATACACCAGACGACTACAACTTTGTAAATGGTTAGTTACACAGAAAAACTGGGCATCATAGACTTAACTGAGTGTAAAAAAATGCATAAATAAAAATAAGCAAATAAATAAATTAAATCAGAGTCTTTTGTGATTTTCAAATCTGCAGACTGGTTCTGTCTTTTTGCAACTAGCACTGACCTGTCCAGACTGTAAATCAGGGCAAAAAGTTAGGCAGAAGTAGTGTAGTGTATTCCAGCCTTTACTCACCCTGGACAGTTTATACGTACAGATACCATATAGTCTATACAAAATGTTAGTTTACATGCACATCTTTTATGTTCATGTTCAACAGGTCATGTAAGGAATCAATGAATGGCAAGTAGACAATTTCATTATGAGTCTAATGTGATGAATTAGTAAGAAAGATTTTTTTCTTTTAACGTTTTTGGATTCTTTGATGGATAGAATGCTCAAAAGAACAGCATGTATTTGAATTAGAATTTTTTTGTAACAGTATAAATGTCCTTTTACTGACTTCAAACAATAGTGTACATAAAATTCTTAACACCCAACCCTAACAAGAAAGTTGCTCCATGAGAATCAGTGAAAGACATCTGGTTGCACAAAATCGAGTCAAATTCCACTACTTTAACACTATATTTACCAATTTTCACATATAACATTATACATCTGATCAAACAGTCAAAAGTCTGAAGAATCAAGGAGAAGAGGCCAGAGTTGCTGGGACAGGACACCAAGGATCTGTTTGATTAATGCAGACTGCATAAAGAACACATGCTCAAGTTTGAACATCACCCGTCTCAAAACTTGTAGTGGTTCAAGTTTTGTAGATTAATGGCAAAAGACTCCACATCTAGTTCACTGTTATTGAACATTGTACTGTAACAGATTCATGGCCTAAAAAAAGAGGCTGAAGCCAATTCAATTAATTCTTATTTGTCCTTTTTTTGATAAAGACATAAAAAGATAACATGAAAAAAAAATAAAATAAAAAAAAAATCAACAATACAACTGAGGACAGTTTAATCACAACTTAACAGTTGTATCAACTGATTAATTGAGTGCACACATCACCAAATAGTCTTAGCATGACATACCCAATGGTCACAAAATGAATGGGAGGGGTGGTGAATTTTTTTGTGGGATGGACTAGATGTGGTTGATTCTACAGCAGCAGCAGCCATGCAAAGTGGGCTTAGCGAGTGGGTAGATGCGGAAAAACAAAACTGAAGTGAGGAAGAGAGAACGATGTTCTTGGTCAATGAAATCTTTAGAGATGTACAGCCATTTGTGTATCTAATATAAATTAATTCTCAGTTTCAGACATGCTAAAAGTGGAAAGTAATCTTATTTGGTCTAATGCTATGGCTGATGGCCACTTATCTTACAGTGGCACTGGGTCAGGAATTATTAAAAAAATAATAGTACTAACCATTCATTCAAATACAAACATGTATAAAAATGTAGGACATGGATTGGTGTATTCAAATAGTAAAAAATGACTGACTTCTGCATGATTGTGTGATATATCTCAGAGAGGGCATCAACATTTTTATGTTGAAATTAGTTGCATGGCTGACAATATCAATTGAAACATATTGCACAATGGGAAATTTATAGTATTCACGTATTTTTATATTGCACTGTGAAAAAGAAAAACAACAATTAGGCGGGTTTGCTTTTGGAGAATGAAAAATCCTACTCCATCTGGTTCATGTGCAACTATAGGATGATTGATTTTAGGTGATTCCGGAACATCAGTCATATGTTTAATACGATGCAGCAAAAGATAAATCTATGTTTCCACTAGCACACGTGTGCTCCTTGCTCCTAAGTGGCAGAACCTGACAGAGGGGTAGGTGGTGGAAAAGAGGGAAGAAAAACAGGAGGCAGACAGTAACAGAACCTAGTTTGGAGAAAAGCATGGTAAAGGAAAAACTATATTTCTTGAAAATTTTAAGGCAATTAAAATAGTATACTTTAATAATTATATATAGTTTATGGCATGCTTTCAATAACCACAGAAAATGCCTTGGTCCATAGACTTACACTGTAAGTTCATTACTGCAAAACTGTTTATTTGTTTTTACAAACTAAAGAACAAGGCAAAATTATTTTCTGTGATAAATGACAGAATGCCACAGATGCAGTTGACTGAGCTTAACTTTATTTTATTGTTTAAGTACTCAACCCAGAACATTCTTTTAATCTTCAGCTAACAGCTGCACCATGACCATTTTGTTCTCCAAACACTAAGATCCATTACAGCTGTGACTTATAGATAAATGTTAGTCAGCATTTCCCTAGCCATCCGTTGTGGATTAATGCAGGAATTTTGTGGGACGTGATTCCCTGAACTGCAGGTGAACGATGAGTGAGTGAATGAATGATCAAAACTGAGAGAGAGAGAGAGAGAGAGAGAGCGTGAGAGAGAGAGAGAGAGAGAGAGAGAGAGAGAGAGAGAGAATGAGAGAGCGCGAGGAAGAGAGCGGGAGTTTGGGCAGAAAGAGAGTAGGTACAGACCTCTTCCTCCTCAATTCGAGCAGGCTCAATCAGCAGATTATTGACTTGATCAAATGACACCCCCTGTTAGGACAGGAACCAGCGAGAGGGCATGCAGATTAGTCAGGCCAAAAAAAAAAAAAAACAGAAGCTTTATGACTGGAAATTAAAATAAATCGAACAAACATTCACACAGCTGACTGAATGACAGGCACACCTCCAAACACACACACCTAGGCAGGGCAGCACACACACACACACACACACACACACACACACACACAGTAAGACAGGGCGCTTCCAAAACCACCACATACAGCAAACAACACTAACCTACACACTTAATGAGCTGCAAATGCATAACAGGTGACAACAGAAGAGTCATTAATGATTAGAAAAGCACTGATTATACATCAAAAACTAGTCCTGTGTCACAAGTGTAATATCTTCCGATTCAATTTGATTGGTCATTTTCAAAAAACATTTGATAATTTTTTTTTGTATTGCTGCTTTAAAACAACATAGCACTGCTCAGTTCTCAGACTGCATTTAGCAAGTAGATTCAGCTCATGAAATGAACAGCTATTATCTGGAAAAGCTTGCTATTCATATTTGTACAAAAACATAATATTGCAATTCTGAAAGGTAATTTTACAGTCATCACACTTTACAAAGGAAGTCTAAAATGTTTAGCAATTTTTAACATTTAAAAAGACTTGATAGGAAAAAAAAAACAACTGTCTGGATTAAACAACCCAAGTTACAGGTTGTCAATATTAACCCCAGACAAATCACTACTGAGTCAATGCTATAAAACAAAGAGATAAAGCAATTACCCACATCCACATAAATGCCAATATTCACACAGGAACAGCAAACTACTTTTTTTTTTTCAAACTGAAAACATGCACACACAAGCCCTGAGCAAGCATTCCTCAGTCACTCATCCATCCAGTCACGGAGACCACACACACACACCTCAGAATTCCTAACCCCGGTCAAAATATTTTGTACCAGATATATACAAAACTTGGCTTCAAAAGTTAATTTTACATATATAGGTTAATTAAAACGTATTTAAGAAGTCAGTGAAAGATCGCAAAGCATTCTGTTGCATATTTGTAGGAAACAAATTTTCTCACTCTTTTTTTTTTTTTGTTTGCTACCAGTAAAACCCCTAAAGGGTTCATGCAATCTTTCTGGTTAAATGCTTAGATTATGTATTTTAAAGACCAATGAGAGTCTTCATATTTCTACACAATAATAATAATAATAGAAAAAACATAGTTGAATATTTAATTGATGTAAAGCTCAGATATAATTTAAAATTATCAGCACACAGACAGTTGTGGAAAGGTGGGCAAAGAGGGTAGTGTGCACTACTTCCCCCAGGCAGCAGAAACAGCAAATGATGATGAGAAGCAAGAGCAGTGCTCAATGGGGGGATTCAAGCTGTGGAGGAGGAGCTAAACATAGCCAAAGTGTGGGGCAAAACAAGGAGAAACTTTTTCATTGAGGTTCTGTCCTTTCAATCAGACCAAAGGCAGAGGTCATCATAAAACAAGCATCATTCAGGCAAAACAGTCTACAATATCCTTGGCATACTTTGCATGCTGCCAATATTCATTCCAATGGCATGATGGCTCTGATACAGATAAAATGATTGAAATAGCTGCATTTGAACAAATATTGTTGCAGAGGGGTCTAAAAGTGTGAGACTGCAAACTAAAACGAAAGTGGCACAAACCAAAAAAACATTCTGAAATTTTCTGATAATTTAGGTACAGTACCATTCAAAAGGTCAGAGGTCAGTAAGGTTTAATGTGTCTTTTGATCAAAAGAGACAGTAGAACGATTTCTAAAAGATCATGTGACAATGAAGACTGGCACAATGGCTGCTGAAAAAAATCAGATTTGCCATCACAGGAATAAATTATGCTTTAAAATGTAATAAAATTACAATTTAAGAAATTATTATAATTTAAAATAGTTGTTTTAAATTTTAATAATATTTCACAAAAATCCTGTTTTACAGTGTTTTTGATCAAATAAATGCAGCCTCGGTAAGCATAAGAAACTTCTACTAACCCCAAACTTTTGAACAGTTATTGTAACTCAAATCGTTTCTTCTAATAATATTATTTGTAATTAAAAAATCGTATTATGCTAATAATACACTAGGGGTCTCAGACTTTTAGCAGTGTAGTTTGTACATCTGGGACTGAAAAAAGGATGTGAACATTATTAAACAACTCCACATAATAAACCCTCAGACAATATAAACTGATTTCAACAGCGACCTGTCTATACACTTTCAATTAAGTAACCAAGCTTTCCCACAGCATTCCTTCTAGAAGTGAAGTGTGGTGTGTCTTTACGTATGAGCCGCTGTTTCTCTGCAGGAAAATGTGGCATTCGAGAGTACTCATTGCTCCTTTCCGCATCTTCATTGTCTTCTTCATTTTCATCTTCTTCCTCCTCATCACTGCCACGGATGATGGGCTCTTCAGCAAAGTGCACAGTAGGCTGCGAAGGCAAGAAAAATGGTTTCCTGGATTACCAATTCAGTGACAGAACCCTTATTGCTCAGAACTTTGTGAAACAAATTGCAACATATTCACACAAACCTAAACATTATCTATACCAGGGGTGGCGAACTCCAGTCCTGGAGAGCCTCAGCCCTGCAGAGTTCAGCTCCAACCCTAATTAAAACTCACCTGCCTGTAGCTTCCTAATAACCCTTCAGACCTTGATTAGCTTGTTCAGGTGTGTTTGATTAGGGTTGAAGCAAAACTCTGCAGGCCTGCGGCTCTCCAGGACTGACGTTCGCCACCCCTGATCTATACAGCAGCTTGCACATGTACAATAGAGGTCACGGTTACATGCAGGATGTGCTAAACATACGTTATACATACCTCAGTATACTCCACCTCCATCTCACCCAGCTCCTCCTCCTCTTGACCATGTCCATCATTAATCTCCACACCTGTATTGTTGATACCCCGCTTCTCTTCCTGAGAGGCGGTGCTACTGGATGTCTGAGAATCATGACTTTGATTGGACAGCCCACTCAACCGTTTCTCCTGTGAAAAACCATCATACATAATCAATAGAAAAAAACTGAGAAGTTTGTATCTAATATTTAAACAATAATGGTTAAAAAAAAATCAGTTTGCATGTAATATAAAACATTTAATGTATTTAATAATATTTAAATAACAAAATATATAAAAAAAAAAAAAATGAATACAATTTAAAAAATATATATGTATATACATAGCCACAAGAACAGAACTTTCTTAAGCATGCTTTCTTAACATAACCATAGAGGAGTCCAAGCACCAGTGTCTTCTCACGTAGCATTAATTTCATTAATGAAAACTATGACTAAACAAGCTTTTATTCCCATGACTATAACGAGATGACTATAAGGACAATAACCGATAATTGTGACTATGTCAACATGCAATATCACTGGCAATAAAAGACTAAAATGTATTTAAAAAAAATAAAAACTTTACAAAAATCTCTTTTTATTTTCGTCAAAGAAAAAAAGAGACAAAATATTATTGGACTGCTGTACATGCCTCTACTATGCAAGCTTTCATGTGTGCGGTTGCCAGATATCAAGAGCTCAAAATCCCCAAATCAGAGCTTCTCTGTTAAAAGGATACATTTTCTGCCCGGTGTTTTGCTAAATTTTGCCGATCTGGCAACCATGCCAGAAAATGTGACTAAGATTTCATTGATTAAAACTAGACTACAATGCTCAGACATTTCTTCAATTTGTGAGGACAGCAATATACAGTATTTAATAATGTCTGGAATCTTGACATATTTCCTTGTAAACTAATTAAATAAATACAATAATATATAAAAAATATATAAATGACTGTATTTAGTAAGTTGCACCTAAATATAACTCACAATATTTATGAACACTATAAACACATTTTAGTTCCCCATACTCAACAAAAAATTCTTCAAATGTAGAAGTATAGAGAAGAATAATGAAAAATAAGTGTCAAACTGCATTGGCATTGGTTATAAACTGTAAATTGTATTGTAAAATACAGTTTACTGTCAGTGCACCATACCATGCATTTATTTCCATTCAAATGGATGGAAACTAAAACAAAAAGCAAAAAATAAAACAATTGTGCCTTTGTTTGAATTTACCTCAGAGTCTGGGGACTCCACATCCTCATCTGGCTTGGCTGTATAAGCCTCATTTCTTCTGGCTTCAATGACATTCTTCATCACCTTTAACTCATTGGGATGTGGTGTGGCTCTCCTCTGAAGACCCTGCTGGTTCACATATACAGCAGGAGTGTTAGCACATGCACAAAATTTCATGCAAACAGTTGTCCAGAAATCATAAACATCCTGTACGCATTTCCACGCTCACCCTCTTTTCTGCCGCAGTCTCCTCATCTTCCTCTTCGTGTTTAGAGTCATCCTGAAACTGAATGACCGATACCCTGTTCAAATTAGTGTCTGTGGGCCAGGTTTCATCGACACTCCTGTCCAGTAGATTCTCTGCAAAGTATATTACAAAATATTGCAATATGATGTGTGTCCTGGATTCAATATGGGTGCAGTCTCAGCCTCAGACAGTACGGACATGGACCAGCCAGTCCTTTTTGCAGTGACTTTAAATAGACTTTTTCAAACAAAACAAAAAACATTCACAGGCATTCAACCTGTAAAATAATCTGTATATACTTGTACTTTTTTCTAAGTCAGAAGAAGTTGCAATTTGGGGTAGACACAAAAGTCTGGCTATGCAAAGCTGCTTTGGGTGTGACTATAACTTGACTATAGCATGACAACTCCATTCACAAGGACGGTGGGGTGTCTTACCAAGGCTCGATGAGGTTTGCTGAGGCAGCAGGTAGCAGGTGAGAACTTTTTCTCCAGTCCGCTCATCATCCTCTGTCTGGAACTTCAGCATGGGTTGAGCCTGGTTCTCTGCCAGCCACATGGCCTTCAGGTTCAGATTGGCCAATGCGAACGGTAAATTCTGCAACCTGGGACAGAGAGCAAGGGATGGAGAAACTTCAGTGCATGAAAAAAACAGCAGGTCGCAATTCTTATGGTCACTCTGACCATCCTACATCCAAACCCTTTGATATAGAGACTTTAACATGGTTTCCTCTACAGTCTACATTACTAAAGGTGTATCTTGCTGTCCTGAAAGAAACCAAATACTGTATTTTAACATATTTTGTTGTAACCTGATTGGAACGTTGAAAACAGAGGACTTCAAATCTCCCTCTGGTTAATCACAAGACTCATAAATCAGAGAAAATTGTAAAGTTTGTAATATACCAGGAACAGCAGGTGCATGTTAAATCACATGTGTAACTAACTAAATACCTACACCCTAGCCCACGAAGATTGGGCAGTGCCCCAAGTGTGTCAGGCTGAAAAGAAGAAATAAAAAGAAAGCAGATTAAAGACAGGATATGGAAAAAGAGAAATATGACATGAGGCAAATATTAATAAAAAAAAAATAAAACAATATTAAATGATAAATTAATCAGCAGGCGCTCAGGTGTTGGTTCAGTAAAGGAAATGATAATCAGAGATCCACTGGGGCAAACAGAAATAACAAGCTCTAAATAAACCTGAAAACATTGCATGCATGTGTGTGCATAATCTAATAACTAAAACATCTAAATTATTCTCAGGACCAAAAAAATGTCTGCTTCTTACCAAAACTTCCAGTACATTGCTTCCCAGATCCAGCTGTTCCAGTTTAACCAGGAAGGAAAGAGAGCTAGAGGATGATCGAGACAGATTTCACATTTAATGTTATTTGCATCCATGTTTTAGGGTGAACACTGTGGATTTAATAACTGCAGTTTGATGGGAAAATACTCACGAGGGCAAAGATTTCAGTAGATTCTCCCTCAGCTCTAGAGTCACCAGGTTTGACAAGCTGAGAGGAGAAAAAAAGGAAAAGAGCCAAGACTGAGTGTCAGATGGTGAGTGTGTTGCTCAGTTTGGAAGAGTAAGGGGCTCCCCCATCTGCACAACATCAACAGTGGCCAAAGTCAATGTGTGTGTTTGAAATGGAAAGAGACAGTGTGTGTGTCTGTATGTGAATGGGATGCCTGCTTTGTGTGCTAATTACAAAAGTGATGATGAAAATTATAAAAAGACATTTAGATATTCTAAAATAATATGCACAGGTATTCCACTTTGATTTTATCCATAA